CTCCAAACACATGCCTGTGAACATGTCATGCACAATAAAATGTAGTTATAGTAAGTTGCAAGGCAATGTTACCAAGTATTCAAGGCTAATGAAGATGCAATCATTAATAATTCCCCAAAATAAAGAGAAGCATTTATGAATCCAAATTATCAGTACCAAGATAACATCCATAAAAATGTGGTAATCAAAAAACCTGTTTTATATAATCACTTAAATTATTACAAATCAAAAGTAAGGAGAATTTGTGGAAAAATATTTGCAAAATGAATTAAAATAACATTAATGGTGAGTAGTTTAAAACTGGTCTATATATGAATGACTTCAAGTAATTGCTATGCTTGAATTAATTACATTAAAAATTAAATAAAAATAATGCAAATGTAAGTTTAACCACTTAGTGCTGAAACTTCAAACTGTCCCATAGCAAGTTCTGTTTTTTCCAGAATGGTCAAAATTTGAATGGGTGCACAACCTCATCATAGAGAAAATACTGTCATGAAATGTTCAACCTTACAATTTTAATGGGAATGTAAGTTTCAGGTAATGCTGACTCTAAAAATGTGGTTTATGGAATGCCATCTATTCACCAACAACTCCATCAAATTGTTTACATATTTGGCTTTACAAGTATTCATACACAGGATGAGTCAGAAGTATGTTTACAAAGTTTGTGTGCACGTTCCAGGATAAAATATAAGAAAAAATGTTCCTATGAACATGGGGTCACAAAAGTTTCATTTTCGAAATAATAGCGAAAAATAATTTTTAAATGCGTTCAGCTCACTTACCATTTAGTCTAGAAGACTGGATATATGAACTGAGACTGTCCTTTGGTCTGAAAGAAATATTACAGTAACATTTATTACAATATAACAAACAATATCTCAGGTTTACAGTTATTACCTTAAAAAATCATCATAACCTAAAAGCATTCATATTCTTTAATTAAGAAAGTCTATCAAAAGAGTAAGGTTCTGCAGTGTAAACATTGTTAGTACTTTTGAGCATTACTTCTCAGAAATAAACTATACTTTAATGCTAGAGCGCAGACAATTAATGCACTTTTCACAAATGCTTAAATGCCAACAATATGGATAATATATATGATTTGTATTAATCTTGCTGAACTGTATGAAGTGAGTCAAAGACAATTTCTTTTTATTGTTTTACTGTGTATATCTTTATAGTACAAACCATGTTTACTTACAGGCAGGTCAAATGTACAAAGATGAAGAAAGCAAAAATTGTAATAACAGCCATCACACATGATTAAATTTGAGATTTTGGTCAACACAAAAAGAAAAGATAGATCAAATTCAGGAAATACATATTATCATTCAGTTCAGATTAATTTTATCTTCTCATCTATAAACCAAAAATATAAGGATTAAAAAGTAAAAACCCATAATTTCACTTGTTTTGTATAGCGCATGCACACACACAGTCCACTGGTATACACTTTTCGACTCTTTTGTTGAATGTAACAGGTGCAATGTTCCTATTCTCTTTATTTCACATGTTAACTGTGAGGTAAAATCATATTACCTGAAACAGTTTTCCAGATATATACTGTTCCATATCCTGTGAGCAGACCTGCCCTTGTATCCTGTATATCTCTCAGGGTTCAACAAAAGATCCACATATTCAGCTCCTTTGTCTTCTTCATTCATGACACAGAAATTATCCTGAGCATCATCATAAGCCTTCCAACGAGCAAATTCCTCATATGTTGCTGCACTGTAAATCACAAACAAAAAAATTTACAAGTAATTTTAACAACTGAAGTTGTTAGCCTAATACTTTTAAATAGTATGCTGTTAAAGCATGATAGGAATGATAACTCTCAAGATTTACTTTACCTGATGTTAAATCTAAAAGTAGCCCAATTACTGACAAAAATATAAACTGTAAAAAATAAATGTTTTGTTTAAGACCCTTTGTTAATATTCAAGATGGATTATAATATAAATTAGTACACCATTTTTGTTGTAGTATTTCATAGTTTAAGAGTTAACTTCATTCAGAGCAAATACACAACTTTAATAATAATGAAACTTGCCTGATTGTTGTGTTGAGATATCCCAGTTCATGGTCATGATCACAGTCCACTGCCTGAGCTTCTTTAGAGTACTGCAATTTCACATCACCACATTAAATACACATGCCTACAATGTTTTAGAAGAAAATATCACCTTTATCTTCAGCAGTAAAGATTGTTCAATCCTGATCTACTACGGATATTCATTAAGGAATCTGGCTGATTACCTTACCTAACCTAACCTAACCTAACCTAACCATTACAAATACTGCAAGTGTTCCAGTTTAGGGATGGAAAATTAATGTTGGTGATTCCAGTATTATATCATGATAGACAAAACCACTGAGGGGAATAGACAACCGTCTTCTCCTACTTCCTACATCCCTTCTGTCAGTCTGTTACATGTCCATTTATCTGTTGTTACCCTTCCATAATACTACCCATATAACCACTAGAATTTATTTTATATATGAAATACTAAAAAGAAATATTAGTATTAACAAATACACAAATATTGTATCACATATGCCATTAAGTTCTATGTGAAATGGACTGGTTTTGCTCATTGTTTAATAATAAGGGTTGACAGTAATATCAGATCATTTTGAAGCATCCATATCAAGCACTCAGTTTAGTTACCACTGTTAATGTTGAATGTAAACAACTGTATTGTGTAATTAAATTATAGATACAAAAATGAAATATGACCTAGTCTATCAATGACTTCCACAGATTCTGCATTGACTGACCAAGTAGGAGAACAAGATCTGTGTCTCAACACAAGCAAAACATATATATATATGTAACTCATTGATTCACAACGCAGTGTTGCATTAATTTCTCAATAGTCCCGACTTCAATTAGAGTGGGGCATTTTAGGAGGGAAGAAGAAAGAAGTAGCACTGGTGCACAATTTTCTCCACACAATTCAGTTTTACCCTCTTCATCATAATTCCATTCCCGTCTGTCACTACTTGAGGTAGACATCTGGCTTAGCTGGCACACTGAACCTAAATCGGGCTATCAGCTATCGTGACTGCACCTTTCTCAAGGTTTTTCTCAGTCTCTCCAGGTAAATGCTGGGATAGTATATTCAAATAGGTGATAATGACCTCCTACAAAATCCTTACCTATTCATTATTCACAATCACCCACCTACTCATTAGATATGTGACTTAAGTAGTTGAAACACCATCATAAAACATAATCAATCTATCTATCATTATTATAAACAAATTGTGTCATTAAAGTGCAATAAGCTTGTAACGCAACACTCAGTAAAACTTAAAAGGGCACAGAGAAATTATTTACACTGCTCAGTGAGACAGTCTTATATATACATCAGTAATAAGTCTATTTTTATTTAAGCAGAGTCCATATGGGATTCATGATCTTGTTTTCAAGACACTCATATGTTGCTACCGGAACTTCCCAAGAGACTCAACATGTCTTTGTACTATAAAAATACATTTCATTATGTTGTTCTAATTCATTAATGTTTTCTGTTCCTCCATAGTAATTTCAACACTATTACATTCTAAGAAACATATATTTTCACAGAATTAAAGTAAATATTATTCTTATGGGAAAAGCCCAGAATGCTTATGTCTGAACCAAATTCAGTGATAAGTACCGATTATAGGGCATATTGTAGTCTTCAACAATTTCTGGTATTTATTTTAAGCAAAACACTGCCAGAACAGTTGAGTCTCAGATTACGGTCACCAAATCTCCCAAATACGAGACACGTTCGTTCTCCTCTCTGCACAACTGAAACTTACCTTAAATGTTGGTGGTTCCTCCACAACTGCATTCTTTGACTGATGACCCTTCAAACCTTCAGGAATGTCTGTCTATAAATAAAAAATGAAACTACTTTCTTCACAAATTAACAATATAAATACAATTTCTGATTTCCTATTAATGTAGGAATTGAAAACACTGTTAACATATGCACCCAAGAAACATCTTCATATAATTTACAGTCCAAAGAAAATCAAGCATGAAACCTTAGTTGTCTATTCCTGGACACATTAGAAACCAACCACTTCTAACTTCATAAAAATTAACTGTTGTATAAAAACAGAAGACTCCTTTGTGAATGCATAAGTTTGAACTCACATCCAAGCACGGTTCAATGTGACAGTATCGCATGGCACATCTGCTGTCATCTGACCAGAATGGGCATTTCTGCTTGAGATTTACCTAGAGAAACACAAGGTGAAAAAATTATGTAATGCGCTATTTCAGATGCTTTGAAACCTCCTCCACAGAAAGAATGGACTAATATGGGCTGATACCCATGATCTAACTTATAGGAGATTAGAAGGTGAACAGTATTTATGTTACTGAAGCAAAATGGGTAGGATGAATCTGTGGATGCAGCCATGAAGATGTATCTTCACAACTTTCATGAATACTTCAGCTCATTGATGCCCACTTGTTGGATGGGCAGAAAAGTACAAGGGCCAAAAGACAAAGGTACTCTTAAATGGCCTCATCTCATCTATCATTCTATTTCCCTTACATGTGACATCAATGACTTGTAGGTTGAACATAGAACAGTGTTATTTTCAGAATAAAAAACTTACCAGAACATGAAGCTGACAATTCTAATTTTATTAAAAGAGACTGAAGGCCTTTGTCTTACTTTTATGTCTCCCTTTCAGCCACACTGCATGGTTATTTCAATGTGAAGTTTCTGCTGAGCCTAAGCACTACTTCACAAAAGGTTAACAGGCACATTATGATAAAGTTTCTTGATTCAGGGCTCTATTCAAGGAAAACCCTTCCTATGTATGCACTAGATATGAGGCTGGATAAGTAAACTGAAGTTAAAAATTAAGATCACCTATGCCAAAAAGTGAACCTCAATCATCCGATTTGTAGCAAGCAATTTAAAGTAGTAATAAACACAAAGGTCATACCTCATAAAATCGGAAATAGTCTTTGTTGAGTAAGCTGCTTAGCCTTGGGTAAATTTTCATGTTGTTGAAATGATCCACTGTATCCACATTGCAACTACAATCATCAATTCTCCCTTTAAGCTAAAAATAAAAATACATTGAAGTGCATTACCATCAGAATCATTTTTAAATATTATTAATAATGAATAAACTCCTTATTTCATTATTTCCATTTTATTTCATATACTTACTGTCCCCTAGCCCCAAACTGTTGCTTGGATGATACAACTCATGAAAATACAGGACTTATGGCCCCAATTTGTGTCAGTTTTCATTTTATGTTAATCATGTCTTGAAATATATAACACAAATATTAAAACATACAACCTATTAAATTCTTTTAATATATATTCTTACACAGCATGTTCCTAACTTAATGTGCAGTAGCCTTCAACATCATCGCTGCCAAAAAGAAAAAATGGCAAGAAGATGATAGATAATCCACACATATTTGTTAGGTAACCTTGTGTACAAACTATTAAAGAGGTCAATGTGGCCTTCATAAACAATACTGTGTAAACATATTACGGATTTACATAATGTACGTACATTTGGATGTTACGAACTTCAGTTCTCATTGCGAGTGTAGGGACGTGTTTAAAGTGACACCTAAAATCGCTACCCTTACTTGTCACGTTTCCTAACCTATATGACAAGTTTATATGTAAATATGGAATCTCCCTTCTTTAAACATCAAAACCTGTATCTCTAATGCATATCAATTCATTTTCATCACAAACCTTACCTTGCAGAAACAACGCTCACTTGCTTTCAGGTTCGTTTCGAAATACGAATTGCCAAAACAAAATAATGAGAGAAAAGTAATAAATATGTAAACTTGTGACACTGTCATAGTTCGCAGTAAATCCTAACTGCTCGTCTAGTAAGCTGTCTTCGTCACAATGTTACTCCTTTCTTGTGCACTTCGCCACATTAACATAGCGTTAAATCAGTTCCATAGGCGGTACAAATTTGTTGACATAACCACTTTGCATCGACAACGACAGAGGGGCGTCAACATATGTCACTTCCGCCTAATCACAATTGCATGGTATTACACGAACTAATCATAAAGTAATCCTTAACTTTTCGCGTAAATTCTGATAACGTAACTTATTACGTGTTCGAGTAACATATTTCAGTGAGTTATAAAAGAAACTTCGTAAATCGTTCAATATATTTCATTCCTGTAACCTGAGAAGCTGAGAATAGGGAAAACTAGAGAGCTCTTTTTGGACCTGTCGTAAGACAGAACACTGAATAATAATAATTAGATGACCGATGACCTTACAGTCCATCGAACACATACACACAATGGGTGACTACGGGACAGAAGTGATGATGAAAAGTCCACAAACCTTCTGGTAAGCCTGCAGAATTTCCACATTTGTATAACCTTCTTTGGGTGAAGGTCAAGCCAACAATAAATACAAGCAATGCAGCCTTGAAAAAACAAAACTGACGTGGCTTAACATACAGAAAGTAGACCTAATCACTGATTAAGGGTTGTAAAGAAAATGTCAATTCAAAACGCGCAAATGTCCTGATACATAATTTTTCTGGCTCTAACGTTAAAAACACAATTTGTCTCAAATGTAGGCCTAATAGATTAAGAAATGAACTGTGTATGTTTATATAGAATTTTGTAAATATTTTATGTCATAACCATTAGTGTGCTTCGGAGTATAACCGTCGGGGAATATGACGTTGATTCAATTAAGTTAACATTTAATGTCACCATACGAATTATGCAAGACTGATACTAGATGCCACTGAACAGTATCCCAGTATTTTGAAAACAAAACATGCAAATAAATGAAAACTGCAATAATTAACAAATCGAAAATTTCATATCAGGAATTATGATTCCAGTCTTCGAATCCAGACGCCAAGATCAATCCTTAAAAACTTGTATTTGCTATTTCAAGAGAACCAGAACTTGTACAAGTGACGAATACATGACGCATACTGACACGTTACGTGACTTGGTGCTGGTAGACCTAGTACGTGATTCGGTGCATGTCTGGGTATCAGATCCGTTGAAGACAACGATGCCGAACGACTTCTTAATTGCGATTCCTCTAATTATCTGATAATTGAAAAAATGAATTTTCGATACCAGTTCTCCACGAATTCAATTCTCACAAAGTATTTTTGAATCAACTATCTTATCTAAACCTTCGAAGTGTTCATCTTTTACCGTGCTGCATGTCCATTTTCCAGGTAGATTCCTAGAAGGAACTCCGTAATAGGCCTCGGATCTGGCGGTTGAAATTATACTCTTAAAACTCAATGTTTAAATCAATTTAAAATTAGTTGTTAAGTTTTGATATGATTTAACATGTTGGCACTGCGAATAACGTGTACAGTTGTGTAGACATCTACCCGACAAGTACTAATTTGTAGGATTTGAGGTTTTCACGGCGGTGAGTCTGAAGATGGCTGTCTTCTGGATTGTTGAGCGTGTAGTCTGGTAGAAGTTTACCGACGTTTCAGAGGTCATCGGGGCGATGAATATTAATTTACTTGCTACTTCTCTGATGCTATTAGAACCTGAAGGTTCAACGAAATTAACAGAAACGAATTTAAAAATAATTTCCAGACTGAAAAACTCGTAACACGTGGGCCCTATTACTGACTATAATACGAAGGACTAACCGTAGGACTATCGTGCTCGAAAACCTCTGCATTCTCAAACAAATTATATCTTCTACTGTGGGTGTTTGTGTAGTCCATGCGGGTAATGAGAATTGTTTCATTTGGTATTCTATTTGCTGTTCGGACCAAGCACTTGAAAACACCAATTCCTGAACCCATGCGGATTTTATCCTCGTTATCGGGAGATCCCGCAAGACGGGCGATCCCAAAAAAAAGACCGTGAGATACCCCGAACTTCGCCCCTAAATAATAATAGCCTGGAATATGAGTAATAAATAATTCCAACGAGTTGGAGATTGTATTAATTTACCAACTGATGTCAATAATGAAACAAATACAATTTTAAAAATGCTAATGAAAAAGATTAAAATACTAGAGGGTGTTTAAGACTTGATAAAGCAGCTCGGTTTACTGGGTCTAACAGAATAGGAGCCTCTCCCCTTCTGACGCCCAAGACAAAGGAACATCCATCTTTCGAAACGTGAAACGTGATTTGAAACAACAACTAAAATTCAAGAACGCAACTAGCATACATGCCAGAACAGTATTGCCTCTACTCCAAGCCAAATTTACACGCTGCCATCGAAGGCAAACCGGAACTAATACTATATAACCGGGAAATCGGAAATCTTCACTCATGGCAAGTTACTCCAGCCCTAGAATAGAGGTCAATGTATCTGCACATGTACCACGATTACAACAGTAGGCTACAGTTCGTACTGTTCTTGTGGCGAACCACGTATACAGACGAACTGTATCTGCCTAGCCAATGCAGTTAATGGGAAAGTAATGCCATTAGGCCAAGGGTGAGACACAGGATCGTCAAAAACTGACGCTATAGCACGTCTTTTTATTAAATTACCCCAACAACCTTTTGCGCTGACTAATATATATGTTTACTGCTTTGCGGATGAAGGATATGAACGAACATAACATCTACATTATGCATTAAATGCATGTGATCCATGTACAGACAGCATAAAAACTGTTGATACTATTATTAAATTTGAAATTTGTTAACAAAACATTTGTAACGTTGAGGAATTATTTCGTAATTTTAGACTGGCATTACTTTCTCCAATTATCGTTGCACTGACATCAGATACTTCTTACATTGCACCATGCATCTTCATATCCTGAAGATTTCTGCAGCAAAACAATGATCGTCAAGTGAGTAAGAAGCAAGGCACACTGAAAGTCCTGATGAAGTGTCTGCATAATGCAGGCTTATCATCACTTGTCTGAATAAAATTTACACAGTTAAAACTGTCTTGCACTGTTCACGTCTGTTTTCTGTCCCTTCTTAAACGAAATTCACACTCAGCAGTATTCCACTACCGAAACCATAACACAACTTCCGAGCACTTATACAACGTAATTATAATATCATACAGTACAGTAGCAGAACCATGTTCAGAACAGCGCCAGAGATTCCACGACTGTTATCTCTTATTCCGTCACATATGCTTTTATTTGGTTTCAATACAAACAACATATGTTCGTACTTGGTTTCGTGTGCCACTATCATCACGTCAAAGTAGGACTCATTACTTACCGCTTCCTACGCAAGTTAGCAATTTAGGACCAGGTGAGTAAAGCGTGTGAAACATTTATACTGTTCATATTTGCGCTTTCAAATACTAGTGTACAGCAAATTACGCGCTTAATATTAAACCGACTTTATTACTTAATGATTATTACGTCTACAACAACCCACTACACCAGAAGTTAACTCACGGTCAACATGTGACCCCTCTGTGTATTTAGTGCGGTCCGATTGCCTTTTTGGAAATATTGTGTCATCAGTGTGATTAAAATTACCGGCAACATTGATCTTGACTCGAGTGTGACGGGGGCGGTTGAGAGAGTCTGTTACACGGGGGGCGGTCCTTCTTCCGAATTCGTTTTCGTATCACAGTACGCGAGTGTTTGGTTGCATTCTGAATGGGACACGCTGTGTAATCTAACAAGAGGGGAAACATATAGGCAGACTTACTGAAAGAAAAATAAATAAGAGAAACTAGTGAGTTCTCTAATAAAATCTCGCAAAGCCAGAAACTGTTTTCCTTTGTATTTCGCTACTATTTTCTATTTTAGTCCTTACTGGTTTATTTAACGATCCTGTAACAACTGCATATATTATGTATCGCCGATTGACAACACGCTATGAATAACTAGGGAGAACGTGACGGGATGCGAAACGTGGCGTCTCACTTATAACTCATATTATCACAAAAACGTAATCTACAATCATAACTATTATCTGTTTTCATGCAAATGCCTGATTGAAAGCTGAAGAGTGAACGCAATCTATGGAAGCATTATCTTAGTTTCTAGATATGCAGTATGTAGGTATTAGTCATACAGTAATTTTTAGGCTTACAAATCAACATTATCTATATAGGTATGCAATGAAATTGGCCTAGACGACCAAAACAATGTTTGCGAAAAATAAATAACATTGAAAGTGTAAATGGAACCTGCTATAGCTGAGGCGGTTAGGTGCTGGCTTCTCGCTATAGACACCTGAGTTCAGTCACCAGAGATTAAAAGTGAGATTCGTGGCAGACGAAGTGGCACTGGAGCAGATTTTTCTCTAACTTCTTCTGTTTTACCCTGCTAATCATCATTTCAACACTGCTCCACACATATCTGTCCCACCCTACAGACCAAGCATTACAACGGTACCTTCCTCATTAAGTTACGAGATTCATCTTCGACTTGACACTTTGTTAGTATTAAAGTAAGCGTAGATTTTACAGTTTCGTTTAGTACAAATGGTTGTTAACATGATAACATGAATCATGTTCCCGCTTTTCACACTGCGGAATGATACAATTGTATACTATGGCCTTGTCCAATCAGCTGTTACCGAATCGAGTATCTGAAACCGGAAGTGTGTTATAACAGCTGGTTTATTTACGTTTCGTCATATATATGTCTGCCGTTATGTCAAACATCTAAAAAAATATGGAACACGCAAATAAACGAGAACTATTGTCCACTGTTAACAAACAAAGGGAGCAGTTAACTCGATATGAAAGTCGCCTGCGTGGTAAGTCGGCTTCTGACATTCACAGTTCTCTTCATACTTTTATGTAACATAACCTATGTGTAATAATTGCATGCGGCGAATAAGTGACAATTTATGGGTGGCTTCCAGATGTCGTCGCTGCGTATAAGGGCTTGATTAAGGAGAAGGAGGCCCTCGAAGCTAGCCTGAAAGCCTTAACTGCATCGAATGCTTCTGACAAGTCTTGTAAGACAAACAACGAAACAAAGAATGAAGAGACCAACACCAATAGTGCTTCCATTCCAGGAGTGGAGGTAATTAAATTAAAATACACGGGAATTCCCTTGGTAGGTACTAAAAATCCAGGATAAAGCAACAGCAATTTTATGTAATCAAAGGGCAGTCATCTATTTTAATAATGATCTTCACACAGTATATCTCATACAAACTGTAACCCATTAAAACTATTTGTATGAAATGTTAATGCTAGCAAAGTGAGGATATGGCTATTGAAATGGTCATATTTCCACATTTATGTTTCTGTAGCAAGTATTCCTTTCAGGTCTGTTCTTCCAAACAAGGAACAAACCAGAGTGAGGAGACTGTTGACCATCTGCGCACTCAGCTTGCAACTCTAATGAACTCACTTGCTACACTCTCTGCTGAGAAATCTCGAATGGAAGCAAACTTTCAAGCAGATAAAAAGCAACTTCGGTCAGAAAAAGAAGAGGTATTGTAAACCCTTTAAGGCAGACCTTTCAAGAATTGTTAACAATTCAACAATCATAATGTATATGAAAGATAAAAGGACGGTATACCTGCTGCTTAACTGAGCACCATGCCATGAAGGTGTATAGAGGATAGGAAGTATTAAATGCTGTCACTGACTAGTAGTTGATCAGGTGATACAAAGAAATAATACCGATATAAATATATACTACTGATAATATAAATGTAGCAATATTAGAATTTGGTGCAGACAGATTTCTTTCACCCTTCTCATAAACACAGATTTAATTGAGATTTTGACTGTTGGTATTATGAAATTCTGTTTTATAACATTTCAGCGTGAGAGAGTAATTAAGGATCAACAGGAGAAACATCAACAGTCCTTGCACCTTCATCAATCAGAGATGGAAACTTTAAGATCTAAACTTATAGCAGAACGTCATGAACGAGAGAAGGAACAGAACGATCACGGTGTAATGATCAGGTGGGATGCATTCCTACAAAAAGAGATGAATTAAACTGAAAATCAGATCTTGAAATTCAGTTTGTAACATTACCAAAGAAGTTGAACTGATTGTTTTCCTTTTGAGTGACCACGATTCAGTTACATCTAAGACTGACAAATTTTAAAGTGATCATATGGTTTCTCTTAGTTGCTTATACAAATGCTTGAGCTACAAGTAATGTTTAAGTTTGGGATCCATGTCACACATGTACAATTTCTGCACTCAATCATGTTTTTGTAGCTGAGTGGTGCCTGTTCTTCACCATACCTCTTTAAAGTACGAAAAGATTCAATGCAGAATCAATGAGGTAATGTCTAAACTCAAAGAGAATTTTATCTGAATTATGTTTGGCCCATCATAATCTCCTTGATTTCACTACACTGACAATTACCAAGTGACCTAAATACTATAAATTGTGAAGTCCATCTTTATACAATGCTCTGGAATAAATATGTTTAACAGTTTTGACATTAT